TAAAAACAACACCATAATTAAAAGAAAACGAAGATGAATTACAGAACGATACTGTCCAAATTTATTACAAAATGAAGACTAGGGTTCGAATTTGCGAATTAAAACAATAAAAAAGACCCGAAATATGCTTAGTTAGATATCTTGTTTATTGTGTGTTGTGGTTTTTTAATACAAATTACGATGAGTATGATGCTTATTACGCTCCTGACTTTTTGTTGAAAATTTAATGTTTATGATGTATGCATATAAACTATGTCGTGGTATGATGAAACAATGCTAGACATAATTTTAGATAATGAATGTACGTTAGGCATGAGAGAGATCATGTTTATAAAAGAAATAGTTGTAATGATTACATTATGAATTATATTACACGTCTTACCAATTGATGGTCTCATGCATACGTATGATTATGAGATTTGTATAAACTTGAAGATGTGACTACGAGGAGAGTGATGATATGGTCATGTGTGACGATATGATAAAAAAGGAAATGTTAATAAAAGAGAGGTCTCAACATCTAACATATTTGCATGTGTTTGTATTATTCGACTCCAATAGTGAAGTTATGATATGAACCCTTGAGATATTTGATTAACAAGATAATCCGAACTTTGCAATTCTACGTAGTTTAGATTCCATGATTAGAATCATTTAAGTTGGACATGATCGATCTAGCTTGTGGAGTGATTCGATTCTCAAACAAGTGTTATTGCGTCAAAATATTAATAAGATAATCCAAATCTTACTTTCCCTTGTAACGATTCTTTGTCATTTGGTGCCAGAGTTTTTTCTTGGGCTGATTCTTTATCATTTGATATCAGCTTTCTTTGAGTTGATTTCTTATCGAGTATTTTATAATACTAAAGTTTTTCAAAATATATTAATTTTTAAGTAAAAGTGAGGTACGTAAGGCAGTTGACCATGTTATGTCGGAGAGCATATGTTAAGTTTTTCATGTTTGGTACGTTTTGTGTTGTTATAATTAGAATATGCTTGGAAAAGTAAATGTAGAAATCAATTGGTAGACCAAATAAGGTTAGACTCTAACAAACAAACAAACACATTGATATATTTAATGTCGAGATGTTTTATGTTTTTTTTTTTTTTTGGGCTACTTTTTCATTTGCACACATCAATTAGTCAACCATGCAAAACACAATAATGAAGAAAAATGAGAAGAAACAAAAAAGAAAAAAAAAAAAGAAAAAGACTTTTCTTTTTTGTCATCGATGAAGGTTATGAAAACGATAACGCCAAGATGAATCCTTCATTACGTTGCTAAAATAAAAAATTTGACCTCATGTAAATGTGAGAGGAAACATCTTATTATCAGGTATTTTTACCTTGGTACTTACCATCCCTAAATTTTTATGAGTCAATAAACTCGATTTGTTCAAAATTGAACGTTAAGCATCATGTTAAACTTATGGGACGTGGTAGTTCAAGCATTAAAAACTTGATAACCCTTGAACATTTTTAAGAGAAGAATGGTTCGTGTTTTTATTTTTTTAAATAGCCATAAACTGTGTTCAATTCAAGAAGTCAAAAAGCATGGTAGTTTGAGTATTTTAGTACAAAGTGTCTTGTGAGTGTATCTTTCTACTTCAGTTATTTATTTGGATATGATTCAATAAAGATTCAAAACCAACATTCTACTCGTGCAAAAATTGCTCTATTTCCTCGAGTGAATCTTCCCACCCCTCTCAGAGTAGCCCCACCAAAATTTTGCTCATATTGCTTATTTGGGTCACAGAAGCAGCTTATGGAGTGGACTCGTATAGTCTGGGCTACCGCTTATAACCGGATTTCTTTTGTAAGATATCGAGCCTACCGCTAGTAGATATTGTCTGCTTTAATTCATTACGTATCGTCATCAACCTCACGATTTTTAAAACGCGTCTACTAGAGAGAAGTTTCTATACCCTTATAAAACATTACGTATCGCCATCAACTTCACAATTTTTAAAACGGGTCTACTAGAAAAAGGTTTCAATACCTTTATAAGAAAACATGTTACTACTCCGGGGAGGACAATGCTTAGAACACCATTGATAAGCATAGTCAAGCAAGTCAATTCAAGACAATGCATGACCCTAGTTATCCACCGGAAATTGAACCCAATTTTTCCCAATTTTTTCTTAACAAGATTCATTTGGGTTGAGGAGTTCATCTTTATCTGTCTCGGAGCTTCGCAATTGTCAAATATCTTTGTGTCGTTAATGAAATTTGTTACTGTCGTGTCGTTAAAAAATGTTATTGAGTTGATTGTGTTTTTTTTTTTTTTTTTTTT